GAGTGAAGTCCACTCATCTTAAAGTGGCCAAGTTTGGACAACACTGGTCTAATAGTTTCATGGCAGCAGTATGATAGAAATCTAGGACTGCTAAGCTTAGCAGGAAACTGAGAATATAACAGTAATAAAAATAAAATATTCTATTGTTGTATGTTGGCAGCCACTAGTCACTTAAAATGATCTATTTAGATATCAGTGAAATATTCTGTCTGCAGAAAAATCTGGAAAAATTATAGCAATGACAGTGAAGCAAAGATGATCAAAAGATGATACATGAATATTGAATGTCATCTTAAAACAGAAAATGTTTGGGCGTCCATGCTACTTTTATGTTCCACAGTGTTTTATTTGACCATGATTTCCTCTAGTAATATGGTATTTACATGGCTTGTTATCATGACATCTAAAGGCTGATGTCTGATGTTTCTGAGATAGGTCTGTTGTTGCAGGCAGGGCGGAGGATGCATGAAAAGCCGGGAAAGTCATGAGGAATGGAGAAGAAGCAATGGAAATGGTTTGGCTCAGCCCGCTAGCCAATCACTGAGTAGGTTCTCACCCTAGTCACAGCGGGATATGTTTGTTTCGCCTTGTAGACCAAACTACTGTCCATCATTGTGAATCCGCCACTGTGGCTTTCATGGGTTACACACCCAGATTTATGCTGCCATAAAATCATTGAGTCATTTAAGCCAACTCCAATGTAGTGGAAGAACCCACAGCATCTCCAACAAATGTCTATCTAGCTTTTGCTTGAACACATCCAGCAAAGAGAAGCGCCATGCCTCCCTAGAAGTTTATTAATTCTGACTTAGCACAATGTATAAACTCAGCAATGGTGGTTTTTGTCCAAGGTTTACAGGATAATATATTGTGTAAAGGCTACTATAGCTTGTTAAAACAAACCATGGCTTAATGCAGAGATGCATAAACCACAAACCTAGATCCACATGAACCCGCCTCAAAGACTTCCAAAGGTTGCCACTAAATTATAATGTTTAATGTAACAGAAATGGAAAAATTGATTATATGTCATTTTAAATCAGATCATATTTATCCTGGCCCTATCAGCTACTTTTTGAAGTATGTCCCCAGCATGTTAGTCAAAGACCAACTTGAAACCTGGCCAAGAAGTTACCTTGGCCTTCATCTCTCCTGCTACTCTCTCATCAAAATAGCTTTATACCCCAAAAACAAGTTGCAGGTCTATGGCTTCAGAGAAAAGTGATTTTAATTGAAATAATCCTGCTATCCAGAAAACAACATTCATCTATAACCCTTAAAACATTGAGAAACAGTGGGCAGGGAGATTTTCAGGGCTTGAAGTGAGTACAGTACGTAACACTGACATTAGAGGGTGTTCCTGGAGGACAGTGGGAGGTTCTTCTGAAGTGGGAAGAGCAATCCCAAGTCCAGCTTTAAAAGAGCAATTTGCAATGTTGGAAGAAGCAGAATTCCTGTTGCAAGTGAAGCACGACTTGGACAGAAAGCTCCTACAGGTAAGAGGATGGAACATCTGGGTCAGGCTAATTGCTACTCTAAAAACCCAAATGGTATCATACTTTCTCTTGCTGTGTCTGTGTTTTTATCCTATTTCCCCACAGAAATGCGAATTTAATTTAGAAGATTCATTCTTCCGGCTTGTTAAACTATGGTCATAAAGTTCTTTTCTATCTTTTAGAGCTTAGGATGATCCCTTAAGCTGAGCTAGCTCACAATTTTCTGTGCTGTCTTGGTAGAAAATCCTGAACAATTGATTTTTAAAAATCAAAAGAAACACAAAAATATGAATCAGTTTTAAATGTTTATCATTCTATATTCCCAGGGCAATTAGAATAAAGTTTAAATGCAGTTGTACTCCAACCTGGTAATCCCACATCATAAAATTGGTCATGCTCACCAAGAAGAATGGGAATTGTTGTCTCACACATACCTAGAGTAAACCAAATTGGGCAAGCATCATTTAATGAAAAAGAAAGGGCATTGGAAGAAGAAAATCATATTCACAAATAGCAGATGGGAAACAATATTCAGAAGGGCAACCCCCTGCAAACAGTGGAATATAATTTATATAAATATGTCTATTTGTGTTTCTGTCTGTGTATATATCAACAATATCCTTCCTCGTTGTTTCCCATCTGCTTATGATGTGGGATTACCAGGTTGGAGTAAAACTGCATTTAAACTTTATTCTAATTGCCCTGGGAATATAGAATGATAAACATTTAAAACTGATTCATATTTTTGTGTTTCTTTTGATTACAAATTACAAATATAAGATAACATCTTAAGTCCCCATCAACTTTCTGTAAGTGAGACAGGTAGATTAATAATTATCCATTATGGAATTAGAGCCATCATAATATACCTAGAATATCTCTGATCTAACTATTATCAGAGATATTCTAGGTATATTACGGTGGCTCTAATTCCATAATGGATAATTATTAACCTACCTGTCTCACTTACAGAAAGTTGATGGGGACTTAAGATGTTATCTTATATTTGTACTTCTCCTATGCCTTCTCACCAGTTTTTCCCATCTTCTTTCTTACTCAAAAATCCATGAAGAAGAGAAAGATTGAATAGCCTACAGTTATTTGATTAGGAATATAGAAAGCCACCATTTGTCTTTCTAGCCCAGTATTATCCATACACGGAGTGGCAGCAGTTCTCCAGATGTCAGGTGGGCATATCACCTGTTGGACCTCTAGATGCTGGAGATGAAGCTAGAACTGTATGCATGCAAAGTTGGTGCTTTACCATTGACATACAGCCCTACCATCCTATTCAAAACAAAATTAGTCAGAACAAATGCCACTGGTCTCAATGGGACTCAGTAATTAGGTAAAGCTGGAGTGAACTATGATCTTCTGATGATTCTTTAAGGTGGTAATATTCAACCTGCAATGTTTCTGAGATAGGTGAAACCCATTTTAGTTCCTCCTCCTTTCCTTCAGCCATCATTACTGATGTCTCAGTGCAACATATCCCATCAACTCACCTGCCCCCATCTTCCCTGTCCCCTCCCTCCACTCCCCTGCCTTGCCTCAGCATTGCTGTTACCACTGATGTCCGCGCACAGCACCACCCAAAAACTCCTCTGCCTTGGCTTTTTTTACTTTTTTACCCTCCCCTAAACCACTCCTGCCCAGAACAATTACATTTCCAACTGTTTCTGGAATAAAACATCCTATTTTGATCTCTATACAAATCAAAACATCCAAATCAGGCTTTCAGGGACAGGCCACCCAAAATCAGCTTTTTAGTGCACGGAACAGTTCACACATTTCACATGTTTGTGGGCAATAATATAAACACAATTTGCTATTGCTTTCTTTTGGAATGCTTTTTCCAGCTCCTCAACCTATCCTACAGCCCTGGACTGTCTTGATGGTCTATAAGGACAAACCAGGTTGAATCTTGCTTTGAATTCAGCCAAGGTCAAATAAGTGCTGCCATGCTGTTACGATAGACCTATTCCTTCTGGAATAGATGATCATTGGTCCATTCTTATTTACACCTTTTTATATCCTTCTTCCCTCATTTTTATTTTTGCATTAGCAGCACTTGAAACCAGCAAATCACTTGGTCAGCCTGCCTTCTGCATGCAGCGGAAGAAGGATTTGTACGCACACTTGAACTGCATGCTTGGTGATACGATAGAAGGGACTACATAACTTCAAAGGAGGGCCATAACTTTTAAAAAATCTTTATATGAATGTGTAGCTGGGATTAATGCTCTTCAAACAAAAATTGCATTTTGCCAGGGCACAGGAAAAAGCTTTGAAATCTAGGTAAACGGTTATTCTGGAGAGTTGAGTGAAGAGGCTTTGGAGTCAAGGGAGGGGGAAGACAGGAGGGGATGGGCTGTTCAACAAACGGCATTCTAACATTCTTTCCAGATATGCATGCCAAGATGTTTGCTGGCCTGTTACTGACCATCCTTCTCAGCATCAGCTTCTTAAGATCTGAATCTCAAGCAAAGGTTGTTCCAGGGCCGGGCAGGATGCAGAGAAGTGTGGGACTTGTCCGGCGGGACTGGCCAACGCAGCTATCTCAGGACCAGAAGCATTTGATCTCCCAGTTCTTGCCTCACCTCTATGCCTGTAAGATAAATTGCACATGCCCCCTTCCCACATTCTTGGAAGATCCTAATAGTGGGCTGGGCCATTCCTAAGGAGGGGTGCTTGGTAAGAATGAAGATAAGGGTAGCTTTTATTTTTGCATTAGCAACACTTGAAGTGTGAATGTGATTCTTTCAGGCCACATGGTTTTACAGATGAAATGATGGGCAAAAGATAGCACTAAATCAAATTCTGGATCAGCTTTTAGTCATTTCCCTCCTATCATGCTTATTCTTTATTTCTAAAACTGCTATATGAATTTTCATCCATTTAGTCCCTTATTTGGCTCTTTTTTAAAAAGGGAAATTTTTGCTAAGGTGCAAATATCCTACACAGGAGGATTATTGTTGATCTCATATGGAGCTGGCAAATAGCCAGCTTCTGCTCCTAACACTTCTTGGTGTTTTTACATTGCAACAGACATTCCCCAAGAAGTACATTTCAAATGGACACAGCAATCTTGGTTTTTTAATTCAGCTTTCTTAGTATACTAATTAACTTGCCTGAGTTATTTTCAAGGGAAGGAGTTTTTGCCCCACTATCACCTTGGCAGCCACCAACATCTCTACAAGTTTTAATTTTCAAAATCCCAAAATTAGTTTTGTCTCCTTTATTAAGCAGCCATGTGAACAGCAAATTTAGGATAAAATTCAGGGTACATTCATTGCAGGAACTTTGAATTTAAGTTTGAATTAGCAGCTGGAACTACTGCAGTTGGTAAGGAAAATTTAACCTTTTCTGGCATGGAACTATCTTTGTGGAAATTAGTCTACTATTCCAAAAACTTACCCTGGAAACTAAAGCTCTTAATGACAGTATTACTTTTTTGGTCAGAGGAGATGGACAATGAAATTAATAATTTCAGAGGTTCAAGGCAGTTATAGCCATTTAACCTGCCTTCCATTAACCCCAGTGTTTGCTCTCCAACAGCTGAACTTGCTGCTTTGGCGGATAATCTAAATGAGGCCGATACTCACTTTCCGAACTGGATGGATTTTGGACGACGAAGCTCTGAAGATCAGGATGGAGATGCCAAAGTTATCCTGAGACAGGAGTAATTTGAGCCCCAGACAAACACATGGTGGATAGAGGCAGAAGCACAAATTCCAAATGGTTATTTGATCATCATTTTGTCCATTTCCAGATTAGGTTTTCGTGCCTATTTGTACCAATAAAAAATGATGCTAGTGATACCTGCATTGGTATGGTTACATATGGGGAAAGACAGCAGAGTTACTGGATTTTAAGCCCTAGTTTCATTCACCAAAAGACACGAAAAGAATTGCAGCCTTAATCACAGAGCGCACTAAATCCAAGACAAACCACATGGTGGCCTGGCATGATATGTGAATCATGCCAGGCCTTTTTTTGCTGTTGTTGTAACCCCCTTTCAACAAAAATGCAGCTTAAAAATTTTGGGTTGCATTATACACAAAGTAGTTTGTGTGCATATATGAGTGTGGGTGGGAGGAGTTCAGGGTTCTGCCTGGAAACTTAAGCAGTTAATATCAGTCATTTTTTTATTATGTAGAATTGGGAATAAAGAGAGGGAATCTGAAAGATGGAGCTTTTTTCTCCACTCCAATTTTTACACTTTCCAAATGACTCAGTTGTAAAAAAAACTAATTATTTAAAGTGAAAAACTCCATAGGGAGTCTCCATTATTGTTCTGTCCCCAGTACTTCCAATTTAAAGGATTGTTGTAGGCATAAAGGGCTAAGAAAGCCACCAAAAGTTACATATCTCCAATATCAACTCAGCTTTCTCACTTGATTTTGTTCTAAACTTTCCCAGCTACAGTTCTTTCTCTCTCAAAACCTGAATTTGCAGCTTCTTCACAAAAAGAGTGGGTATTTAGGATATTATTTTCTTATTGAAAAGGGAGCTAAGCCCTGGTTCTCAGTCTGCTTTCTCCATTCACAATAATTCAAATTATGAATCTGGACATGGCGACTAGAGAGCTATAGACTGTAAGTACCACTTATAAATCAATTTTGAACCAAATAAAGACTGGCTGCTCTACATACTTTGGGCATCTGATTCAAGCAGATGATGGCCTAGAGAACAACTACTGTGCTTGGCATGTTGAGGGAAGTAGAAGAAAAGGAAGACAGTGGAGAGATAAAGGGAAGACAGTGGGTGGACAGATAATGCAGGACTGCTTTTGGAGAAGCTGCCAAGTATTGTAGAAGACCGATCAAGAGAGGAATCATTTGTTCATGCAGCCACAACCGAGCCCAGTTCAATGGCATCTAATTAAGCTAATGTATGTTTGTACAAACCCATTTGTTATGACTGTGTCACAGTTTAAAAAACGACTGTTTAATGTAAACTGTGAACCCAGTCAAAATGAAAATTGGCCAACTTTTAGCTGTCTAACCTAATTAATTATTGAGCAATTATCAGAGCCACTTCGAAAGGATCTTGGTCAGCAGACTGAATACCAGCTCTCATCAGATAATAAATGACCTCTTTTTACTACATGCCCTTGAAATGCTTGCTCCAGAGATATATGAATTCTCCATTTGTTCTAATAGCCTTCATGGGCATATCTCCCATCCCCTTTCTTTCTTATAAATTTATCCTTTTGTGTCAAAACATACACATTGATATTGTTCATGCAACCAGATAATTTCTGCTTTTATTTTTTAAGATAAAGTGCTTGCTATGCTTCAGTTACCTGTTTATGCATTATTAAAAAAAGGGAAGAAATCATTACAAAAAGAAGACAAAATAGGTCAATATTTGCATTTGTCAATTGATACGCTTGCAGGTGAGTTTAAATGCATGTTAACTCTGCTGTCCAGGTCTAACTGTGAATGACCTGCAACGCTTCTCCTCCTTTTAAAAATTCTTTATCTATAAACTAGTTTTGGACTCATCAGATATAGGGGCACATTCAGGTCTTCAAACAGAGGGCCGCTCAAAGGCTTGCTTCACACAACCTGCTAAAATTGTTTGTTGCATGAACCCAGCCGAATGTGATTTAATCCATTTAATCAAACTAAAGAAAAATACATGACCATTCTAGCTCCAGGTTTCCAACGAATCCAAGCAAAGCACACTGTTTCAAACGATCAGTATGTGATCAAAGGGCAAAACCCTATAAAACATTGCTAGCTAATTGGGAAGAAGGGAGAAAATGGAAAAACTACTCACTCTCAGAATTACCCAAAACAGATAACCTGGAATCCTACCAACATGTCAATTCTGCAACATAGTGATGCCTTCTGAAAATCCAGTCGTAAGAATACAAATAACGTAGAGAACACCATATAGATTTGTTTCAAGCAGGAATGGACAAGGGAGAAAGTCTCTTTGGGACTGGAGATGTCACTGGAGCCAAACCTTTTCAGTGAGAGGTTGTTGTTTTTTTGTTTTGTTTTATTTTTTGTTTGTTTTTGGAGGGGGGTTGAAGGTAGGAATGGAAGGAGAAGGCTTCTGGAAGGCAAACCTCTACTATTTCCCCTTAATTCTGCTCCAAATACACAATCATGTAAACAGAAAAATGTTGCACATCAATGGCAAAGCCCATATTTCCAGGTGCTTTGAATGAATTCAAGTCTCCTGGACCAGATGGATTACATTCCAGGTGCTAAAGGAACTGGCAGATGTCATTTCAGAGCCACTGCCTGAAATCTTTGAGAAATCCTGGAGCATAGGGGAAGTGCCAGAAGATTGGAGAAAAGCCAATGTTGTTTCGATATTTTAAAAAGGGGGAAAAGTGGGCCCAGGAAACTACAGAACAATCAGCTTGACATCAATACCTGGGAAAATCCTAGAAAAGGATTTGTTGTGGGTTTGCAAGCACTTAGATACAAACAAGGTGACTACCAGAAGCAAGCATGGATTTTTTACAAACAGGTCATGCCAGACAAATCTTACTGCTTTCTTTGACAATGTGACTAGATTGGTGGAGCAAGGGAATGCTGTGGATGTTATGTATTTAGACTTCAGTAAGACATTTGACTACCAACTCCTTCTTGATAAACTGAAACAATGTGGGATGGATGGCCCCTCTACCAGATGGATTGTCAGTTGCTGAACAACTGAGGCCAATGCATAGTCCTTAACGGGTCTATGTCCACATGAAAGGAGGTATGCAATGGGATGCTTCAGGTTCTGTCCTGGGCTCAGCACTTCAACATCTTCATAAATGGCTTAGTTGAGGGAATAGAAAGGATACCCATACAATTTGCAGATGACACAAAGTTGGGAGGAGGGGATTACTAACATCCAGAACACAGGCTCAAGATTCAGAAGGATCTTGATAGACTTGAACATTGTCTATCTACAACAAAACTATACAACAAAATATTGTTCAATGGTGAGAAATGTAAAGTTCTACACTTAGACAGAAAAAGATAGATATGCAAGTACATGGTAGGTGGTACCTGGCTTAGAAGCATTTGCAAGAAGGATCTGGATATCCTGGTAGACCACAGATTAAGCATGAGCCAGCAATATGCCACAGTTGCCAAAAGAACCAATGTGGTTTTGGCCTGCATCAACAGAGGTATAGGGTCAAGATCACGGGAAGTGAGAGCGCCACTCTATGTTGCACTAGTCAGACCACACCTGGATTACTGTATCTAGTTCCAGTCACCACATTACAAAAAGGAAGCTGAAGAACTGGAAAGTGTGCAGAGAAGAGCAACAAAAGGGGCTTGGAAGCTAAATCCTCCAAAGAGGGTTTAAAGGAACTTGGTATGTTTAGCCCAGTGACGGCAAACCTATGACATGCATCCCAAAGGTGACATGCCATGATGTTTTCGGTGACATGCCACCATTCACCAACACCAACAACTATTCTCTCTGTTTCAGTTACCAAAGAAACTGAATTTGTTTTACTCGTATTTCATTTTTATAATTATTTGACGTCTCTTTATGTAATACATAGCACCACACATGATTGGACTGTATTTTTTTTTAAATAAATGAATATGTAAAGAATTGCTTCTCTTTTGTTTGGGGGAGTGGGGTGACACACCAGCAGAGTCATGTTAGACATTTTCCAAATTTTTGACACAATGAGCCCAAAAGGTTTGCCACCACTGATTTAGCCTAAAGAAGAGAAGGCTAAGGGGAGGCATTAGCAATCTTCCAATACATGAAGGGGTGTTACAGTGAACAGGATGTGGATTTATTCTCCAGAGCACTCAAAGATAAGACAAGAACCAATGATTGGAAGCTTTACAGTAAGAGATCCAAACTTGAACTAAGGAGGAATTTTCTGACCGTGAGATTCTATGATAAAAATCTTCTAAAACAGGATTTCTGCTTTGCCTTTCATAAAAACAGCAGCTGCAAGAAATTTTATGATTGTTGGGACATATACTTGAATAATAAGGGATTGCTGAAATAACCACAAAACCATGACCTATCTTGTTTTTGTTTTAAAGGAGGGTTATAAACCAAACTATGGAGCAGATTTAAAGTAAGGGACAGCTGACAGAAGCACTGAACTCAAACCAGGACTTGGACTACCGTTTGCAACTAGAGCAAACTCCCTGGCTCAGTTTTCAAGGTTCTACTGAATGGAGTACAGCTGTTTTACTTTGGGTGTTCCATCATCTGATTAAGATAGATTTGTGAGGCCAATTTTAACAGCTTATGGAAGATATGCAAATTCACATGTTGCAGTTATCCACTATATACACTCTCCCACACATATTTTGATTTTGTGTTGTTTTAATAATACTGGAAACTTTTATTATTTTTTATTATTTTAAGTCAAAGCGGAACAACAGAATTTGCATGGTTCAGTTGGATACGCATGTAACTACTTAATCTATTGTATTTACACCTGGAAAGTGATAAACCACAAAGTTCTTTACTCTTTGGCAGGGTGATTATGATAAAGAAATTATCTCCAAAATGAGGGAATACAACTTGAAAATATTATCTATGTTGATTTATTTGTAATTAAGGTATTTGCAAAAATACATTTATATGGCAATTTATTACAAAAGTTACATTATAAAGTTTATGAAGCACTGGAGAGCAATCTAAAATTAATTGTCTTCTTTCTTATTCTTCTCTTGGTCTTTTGTGACTGTTCAGTTTGTGTTGTATTGCTAATTTAAAAATGTATTTTGTTTCTGGCAAACTTCTCTTGAATTCTCCATAGCATAATTGAGGCCAAGACATAGCACTCAAGATTGAATGCCCACTCATAAAAAAAATGAAGCTGAAAAAGAGTGACTAAACATGTATCACCCTACCACCTCCCATAATTCCCAATCAGCATTGCCAGTCGACCTATTGTAATTGAACACATTTAAAGATGGTGCATGAGGACATCTTCACACTTCTGAGAATATTGCTTTTCATCTTGTTTTCTGTCATTGTTTTTACCTTGCAGGTGACTTACTTCAGTTTTACATTTTATTTTAATTGTTCCACATTGTTTTGAACTTTTTGGAAAAAGTGATAGATGCTTTTTAACGCATTCTATGCGTCTGCCCTGATGCCTGAACAAAGACGGTATTTTGCTTAGTGCCCTTGGAAATATAATGGCTCATAATGAAGCCGGACAATCGTCACATTTTCTCTGTCTCGCTTTATCCATAGAGTTAAAAAAAAAAAGAAAAAGCAGGCGTTTTCACATTTAAGAGGAAATAATTGCTGGAAGCGGGCCCCCTTTTTAGCGGAGGAACTACCTCAGGGCGCACTAAGACCCTGCGGAATCCAACCGGGTCTGCCCCGTCTGCCTTCCCCCTGCTTCCCAGAGACTCCTGATGGGCCTCCGAGCGGCTGGTCTGGTCTCAGGAGCAGAGTCGCCCGCCGCAGGGACGGCATGGAGCCGAGACGTCGGGGGCTCCCGCTGGCTTTCCTGCTCTTGGTTGCGTCGGCGCCTCCAGTCGACGCGCAATACGAAAAATACAGCTTCCGCGGCTTTCCCGAAGCTGAGCTGATGCCGCTACAGAGCGCCTACGCCTATGCGTTAGAGCAGTACGAGGGCGAGAACTGGAGGGAGAGCATCCGCTACTTGGAGGCGAGTTTGCGCCTCCACCGCCTGCTCCAAGACAGCGAGGCGCACTGCCATAAGGAATGCGCGGGGAGCGAAGAGCTGGGTACCGGCCCGGTTCTCCCAGAGCTCGCACAGGGCGCGCAGAAGAGCCCGTCGCCTTCGGAGCTCCTGAAAGACGCTGCGCTTGCAGAGCTGGAAGACAGCGCAGGATGCGGCGCAAATGCTTCAGGGGGCACGCCAGGCGGGGGGCTCCCGGACCAGGAGATGGAGCTCTTCGGGCTCGTCCTCCAGCGCGCCTCCTGCCTGCGGAGGTGTAAGCGCAGCCTTCCCGTCTTTCAGCTCAGCTACCCGCCGACCGAGACTTTGCGGGACTTTCAGCGGCGCATTCCCTACCAGTACCTGCACTACGCGCTGTTCAAGGTGAGCTTGGAATTGAGCAGGGCGCGCGCTCCGGGGCACGGTCGCAAGTACGGATGGTTCCCGCGAGGCGTTTTGCTTCACGCTTGATAAGACCGTAGGCGGAGCTTAATCAGCGCCCTGGCATCTCCTTTCAGCACAGTACTAGGGCTCGGTTTTGGAATAGACAAGAAGCACGCCTGGAGCAGGAAAGTGCAGTTTCTACCTTACTGAGTAACTAATGGGAGTGTGTTGAGGATGTTTCCATTCATCAGGTATTAAACGGAGATATGATGCAAAGGATAATATCGCCATTAATATTTGTGTTTCAGCATCCTTTGGAAATGAAGCACTGCCACTACAGAGCTGGTACTCTTGGGCAGCACTCGTTCCCATTTCCCATTGGCTACTTCTGCATCTTCTTTGAATCATTTCAGTGGGGCAGAACTCACTGGCAAAGGCAGTGGCCAGCTGTAGCCTAACAATATCAGAAAGATGATGGGTTCTTCGGGCCTAATTTAAGTATTGATCTTAATTTGTTCCATCTCCATATTCGATCAGAAGGCACTAATGCCAGTGGGAAAATTTAAGTGCTTGTTCAGTCAGACCAAGAGCCCATTTTGGCACAGCATTCTGTTCTCACGCTGGCCAACCGTGTGGCCTTGGGAAGTTTTTAAATTCTTTGATGCAAATTGATGCACCACTAGGAGATTATTTTTATCAAAACCGTGACTGGGGAGAGAAGGCAGAAACCCTCCTTTTCCCCTCTGACCAAATGCTGCATTGAAATCATGATCACACTCTCTCAAAACTTGGTATTTAACTTTTAAACTTCTAAAACATTATTGCTTGCACAAAGTAGCTATGTCCTATCATAGGAGGGACAGAAGGCATGTGTGGGGAGGCTGTTTTGTGGGGCTCAGCAATGTCTCTGTTACATCAGACAGAACAGGAATGGAATTCAGGGGCTGGTGGGAATAAAGCTGATATGTTCAAGCTGTTCTAATCATTTAAAAAAGAAAACAATGCAGTAATTCAAAATAATGCAATAGTTCTGATTTGGGCAAAGCGATCAGGAAAAGTGTAAACTCTGGGGAGCTCAGGGTTATTCCTTCTTACAGGAATGTACTAAAGTCTGCATGCGAATATACTATATTTTTACATGTTAATCTGTTTCGGCAGGGCCCTTATAGCCATTACAGTAGCCAGAGCCTCAGCTTGCTGTTAGTGCACCACAGTTCATTTTTCCTCACAGACTTACACTCCTTCAAAATCCATGACCCTTCCAAAAAATAAGTTTTTTTGGAGGGATGAGCTAGAAACATATAAATCCTCCCTATTGAACAGCCTTCACTGTAATAGGCGTGCTTCTCAAATGAAACTAAAAGCTTCCCTGTCTGTTCATTGGAATTGACAATCTTCTACATAAAGGGAGGGGGGATGTCATGCTAATGGCAGCCCAGGCATTTTGTGTGTTGAATTTGAAGCCCTTTCCTTTGTCTCTGTGAGGCACAGTGCAGTCATGTCCTTCTTCTCTCTTTCTAGCTCCCTGTGCAGCTACGTTTACCAGTCAAACAAAGTTGCATACTTTTTTCCCTTGCCTCTTTTCCATCATGGTTCCTTCTGAGTTTCTTAAGATGTTTTAAGAGAGCACTGGCCCTTTAAATCTGGAGGGACCAGAAGCAACTGGTCTTCTCAGTTTTCTCCTCCTCCTCCTCCTCCTCCTCCTCCTCATCTCTCTCTACCTCCTTCTCTGGTGAGGGAGCCCTCCTGTACCAAAAGCACTCAAATGCCACGTCTCTCTGGCACCCAGACTCCTGACTTTCTCAAGTGGACAGAGAGCGAGGGAACAAATGAGTTTTCCTATGCATCTGACCCCTCCCTGTCCTGTTATTCATTCATTGGCAAGTTCGTTGATTTTTGTGGAGTTTAGAAACCATTTACTTTCCTGGGCAGGAAAGTGATGCAACAGATGCCACACTGGCTACAGAATACTTCCGGATGAAATAGATATCAGGCAGGAGTTTCTCCAAGGAGAAAACTGTCAAATGAATGCAGCTTTTCTGCGCATAGCTGTTAAAACTGGCTGTTTGTGTCTGTTGGGTTGCATGTGTTTCTGAGTCTCTCCCACCCAAATTCTGCATTCATTCAGACATAGAAGAAAGCATATGGAGGTTATGTGGAGCTCCCTGTACCTTTAAATGTTTATTGTTTTTTCTATGAGGTCATAAACAATCTAAGATGGATAGTAATTTCTATCTACTATGAATCAGATCCTCTGATCTGCAAATTCTGTTTTGTAGTCCCAGATGCACGTAGTTGGCTGTGGCTACTCCATCACAATAAACATGTCTGTGTTTACAAGTTTGTGCTGGTATCATGCATTTTCATATTTAGGGCCTAGCCACAACAATCCAAATAGCCCCTAGCTCTAAAAGTCTTCAGCTTAAACCGGGATTCTTAATATTTCATGTGTCAATGGGCACTGGTTAATATGCATAGAAAAAAGTTACTGAGGTTTAAATGGGATTGAATGTCAAATCCTCAGGCCAGGAAGACTCCTCTCTAAACCAGGGGGGAATTCTCATTTTAAAAGAAAATGAGGCACTCCCCCTTCCATCATTTTGCCTTGAACTGCTGTGCACCCCAGCCATAAGCTGAATATACAGAACATATTTAAGGAGTTCTGGAACCTGGGATATGCTCTGCTGTTTTTCTGTGTGTAAAATATTAGATAGATAGGTAGATAGATAGACAGACAGACCGACCCCACACTATTCCCTTTTGGGGTAAACATTATGCAAAGCACAGCAGGAGAATAAGAACGAGTAAGCAAAATAAGTTAAAGGCGTGAGATAAGAAAAGGAAATACAGCTAAATCTAGTTTACACTAACACCATTCATTATATCTTTCCATGGTTTCTTATCTTTCCCAAATCAAACCATCCTTGCTTCTATCACGCCCATCCACCACTTCAGATATAGCCTTTTGCTCTTTAAACTTATTTCTTTAATTAATTAATTCATGCTTTACCGTTTACTCCATTCCAAATTGCAATCTTATTTATTTATTTATTTATTTATAAATAAGCATATTTCTACCCTACCACAATCAAAAAGGCTCCTGGTGGCTCACATAGAAGGTAATAAAGCAGTTTAAATGATTCGTTAGAATTTCCAGTTGTTAAGCCTAGAGTTGGACGGTCATTTATATCCTCAGTCTCCTCACCTCCCAGCATAGTCCAGTTCTTTTCTGTGGGGGTGTCATTTCTTGTCAATACGTAAGGTGGTTGATCCATGTGGGCAAATTCTTTGGCTAGGCTTAGTCCATTTTCAACTGGCTCTGTTGTAAACATACGGTGGGGCCCTAATGACCAGTCATGGGATAACAGCACTATAGGGCCTTTGTGTGGGGCAACTAAGCCATTGTCTAAAAGAGAGTTAGGTGAGGGTCTTGTTGGAGGAAAAAAATCTGTGATCTTGGCTTGGCTTCCTCCCTCTGTATAATCTTCTGCTACTCCAGACACTGGTTCTAATCCTAGTCGACAACAGCCACCTCTTGTGAGGACCATTTTGAGTATTTAAATAATAATAACGCCCTCCTCATTATATTCTCAATCATTCTTCCATCCTTCTGCAGTAAGTGCTCTCAGCTTTACTAACTGGCTGTCTGTATTATGGTTGCGAGAGCTAAAATAAATTTTAGTGAGATAAGACGCTGGGAATTCCATGCTTAGTTTAAATTCTTTGTTATCGGCATACTACGCTTTTGCAATAACGTAGCTTGTTGCAGTCAAACCACATGCTAATGCTGAGTGCTTCAATTAAAAAAACTACCCAATGTTTAAGGTATAAAATTTAGAATTATCAGATGGTGTTCACACAGGTACAGCCACACATGTTGCCATCTCATCAGAAGTCTCATAGAACAGTTTAAAATGTCCATAGTAGCACATAAAGCCACGGAAGAACTTCACAAGTAAAAATAAAAACACCAGCAAACAAAAATACAAAAATGAAAATGAAAAATGAAAATTAAAGATGGCATCATAAAATCAGGGAAAGGCTCTCTGAAAAACCGTCTTCAGTAATTTTTGAAATGTCGACCAAGAGGAAGCCGCCATAATCTCTGTCAGGAGTCTGTTCCACAGCATTGGTGCTGCCACAGAGAAGCAGCACCTTCTCACTTCAGCCCTTTGGAGTGCACAAAAATGTGGGATTTGTAGCAGATTTTCCCTAGTTGATCTAATCTGTCGGGACAGTGCTGATTG